CTTTCAGAACGCCCCGCCTGGTGAGGAGCGACTGTATCCCAAGGAGATGCGCACGCTGCGCCTGCCCTGGGGTTATCTCACACTGAAGAGCAGACAGCCCATGCTGCAGGGGTTGCCAAGGTTTTAATTCACCTCCTCTTGTCTTTGCAGTTTCTTGTTATTTGTCTGCATGCTCGCGCGACAGGTGAGAAACGCTCCCAGCCCCCTGGCCGGGAGTCCAGGCTGTGCCCCACATCTCTTGGGGAGGGCTCGGTCAGGGGTTTATGCAGAGCAACGAGTCGATATATGAGATAACACTGTGATAAACACCCAGAGGAAATGATGCCTGGGTTTGCCCTTCTCCCTGCTACTCATGATAAACAACATCTGACTGTCCTGCCCCTTCAAAACTGAAGCTGTGTCCCTTTGCTTTACAAGGAATTGGTCTCAAAGGAGTTGGTCCCTCTGAAGCAATGAGTCTGTGTGAGCGCAGGCAGCGGAGGGGAGGTGTTTCTGTGTCTGGCTGCAGCAAGGTCTCCTTTTCCCTACTGGGACACATGAGTGACTCCCAGGGCTGTCCCCTTGTCAATAAGGTGGCTTAACTCCTTCAGGTTGCAGAGCTGCTGCAGATGCATCCTGTGTGGGGATGGCTGTCTGTGCAGAGCTTTTGCCATGATAAAAGAGTAGAAAGTAGTCTTTTTTGTAACTGGGAAAAAAAAAATGCTTAATGATTGTCAAGTGAGTTGAGGGACTTGATTTGGACATATGTGTGACTTGTTTCTTGGCTGGGTCATGGTGCAAGCATTGCACAGCAGCATCCAAGCCAGTGTCGGGCACTAGGGCTACGTTTGGCTGTGGCTATGTGGTGGATATGTGCTGAGTGGCTGTGTCAACGATGGAGGAAAAACGATGAGCCTGCCTGCAGAGAGAGTGCCAGCTCTGCGATGCAGCTAGGCTGGGGGGACACACCTCCATATGGTTATCCTTCCCCACCTTGTACCTCTGGGGAGCCGCTTGGCAATCAACAGCTGAAACTGTTTATTGGCTCCTGAAATGATGACCGCCTTCCTGAGCATGTCCTGTCTTGATCTGGTGGCAGGGGGCCAAAGTCCCACAGGCGGTTCCCTCTGTGGGATCTCAGTGGAAGCCGTGTTTGCGGTGTCGTGACTGGTGGTTAGGCGTGACAGGGAGATAAGTCAGCAGGTGTCTCGCAGGGAACATGCAGTGAGGATGCTCTAACAGCAGCTTGTGTTTGCAAAGGACTTTGTGGTGCTGAGCTCTCTGGTGAGCATTTGGGGCTCAGCGTCTCACTAGAGGTGTCAGCCCCATCAGAGAAACCACAGGTGTGTCCCCAAAGCACAGACTGTTTTCTGTCAGCAAACATCTCTCTGTTGGTGTCCCCACTCTTCTCTAGGGCTGTGCTGCCTTCTTGCCAGGTGATACTAAGCAAGGAAGCAAAACCTCAGGCTCTCACCTCCTGTGCTTTTTCCATGGTGGGGCACTTCTACAGCTATGTGTGTCATGTGGGGCACAGAGCATGTATATTCCTGTGTCTCTATAGCATCTAAGACCTCTGTGCTAAAGGGACTGAAATAAAATGATACATACAAAAACCATGTGGGGACAGTGCTGTCTCCATGGTGCCTTTTAGTAAAGCACAAGAGTGTTGATAACAGGTGTGTCTGTTCATGAGGGCTCCTGTAGGCTGGGAGATCATCCATCCCCTACCTGTTGGGATTGCATGGCATGTTGTTAACCAGAGAAGTACCTTCCCCCTCTCTCTGCCATGTCCCAGATGGACCTCACAGTGAGGGCAGAATTGCAATTTAGTGTCTCTGGAATCCAAAGATAGCACAAAAATCCGTGGGCTGGTGAGTCCACCAGCTTAAATGGATGGAAAGTTACTTGGAGAGAGAGATCCCTTAAATGCACTCTCGCAAGGGATTGAGGCAAAGGCATGGGGGTTCCACAGTGTGTTATGTGGCTTTGAGTACAGCAGTAGCTTCTTTATGCTGTGCATTTAATGGCACATTTGTCTGTTTCTGCAATTTTGACAGGATCCGAGAACTTGCAGAACCCAAGAAAGCAGCTCGTGCCCACGACCCCAGGTAAGGAGCCACCTAGACAGCCCTGTCTCGAGGGCTGGGGACTGATGGGGCCTCAGCCAGCGCAGACCCTTTGCCTCTGTCTTGCTACTGCTTTCCTCTGAAGAGCAAAAGTGGCTCCAAAAACACAGAATGAGATGTTCAGTGTGTGAGGGGCTCTCTTTCAATTTTCTCTTTCTTGTTTTCAATCCAAAAAGTGGGCTTGACCTGAGTCTTGCCTTTGCTGCCCCATCTGAGCTGCCCCACTGAAATGTTGTGGGGTAGGATGGTGCTGTGGTGCAGAGGGACCAGACCTCGTTGGAGCTGCAGGCTGCTGTATCCTGGAGGACACAGTCAGGCTTTAGGAACAGAGTTGCTGTCTGCACAACAGGGTCAGTCTATGGCTTGACAAGCCAGGGCAACAGTCTCTTGATAATGTCTCTTCTCCACTGTCTGCCTGGGTGTCATTGTGCTGAAAAAGGCTCCACAGATCCATCACCCTGCTGTTCCTTGGTGACCTCTACCACCATGGCCTCTCTCTCAGTGGGGGATGAGCAACTCCAAATTTGCCCTGGGCACAGGAGAGTAACCACTAATGTGCTGCAAAACCTCACCCACTTTCCATGGCACACCCTGACCGTAACATTATTATTATTTTTACTGTCATACCTGTGGTATAGTTAGGTGGTAATGGTGAAGTAAGAAAAATGCAATCATGAAACTCCCCCAGGGGTTTCAGAGGTGTAATGAAATGACCCTTTCTGCACATCCACTGGGAACTGTCAAACCAGACTCATCACCTGAAGGCTCTTTTCATTTTGACTTGACAACAACCACTTGGACAGTGTTAGGAAATTCAGTGCCAGAGAAGGGGAGTGCTCAGGGGATGGCAGCAGCACTTGACAGCAAGGAAGGATAGCCCCAGCAAGTACATTTCACGCTTCTGCATGTTTCTAAAATTTCGCACCCTTGCTGTTCTTGCTAGGCTCGTCTGGGGAAACCAAGAGACGATCTGGACCATCTCGTGGGGTGCTGTGACAGCTCCACCATCCCCAAGAACAGTGGCACTGGCCAAGCCCAAGAAAGATTTTGGCAAGAACCACTGCAGGTCAGTGATGCGGTAGCACATCCTGGGGAGGGAGGCAGCTCAGATGGTGCTCCCTAGTCAAGGGGATGTGCTGGCTCCCAGGGCAAGGAGAGATGACATCTCTTCTGCCACCGCTGCCCCACAGGGAGCTCCATGCCACTGAGACCCACCAGGCTGTACTGAACAGGGGCCATCTGTAGCAGTGGGGGAGTGTTGTGTGAGTGGGGGAGTGTTAAGTACTGTGGCAGCATAGTTGCTCTGAGTCCTTGACTTCCAAAGTGAGGAGGAACTGCAGGGTCCTAAGTTTTGGTGCCCTTTTATTTCCTCATACCCTCTTCCTGGCTGCGGGAAGGGCTTCTACAACACGTGGTGGTTGCCGGTCCGATTAGAGCTCTGGGTTCGGATCAGCTGCCGTAGGAGACAGCCTTAATCTCAGTCTCCAAGCACATGGGAGCATGTTCCTCTGCTGTAACAAAAAAAAACCAACCCACCAGCTCTGCTTTGGCTTGGAAGCGGAGACATCATATGCATGGATACATGTCTTGATGGAAACACGTATATGTCACACCTGCACATACAGAAGGACTCTCTGTCCCTAGAGTGTTCTCTGTCCATGCTGGGTCCAATACAGCCCAGCCTGGTACCTGGACACAGTTAGTGATTCCCTGCATCCTTTTGGAGCCTGACCTAAACCTTGAGGATAAAGGTTAGGAAGTGCTATGAACAAAGAAATCTTGCAGCGTCCTGCTGGCTGGAGGGAATCCAGATCTCTTGCCTTGAGTTAAACTTCTGCTGTCACTGCATGGTGAACAATCAGTTAAAGCAGTCTGTGTTTGGGAGTGAAAAAAGATGTAAAAATGTAAACTTCAGTGGGGCTCAGTGATGCTGCATTACTTGAAGCAGCTCGCCTGTAGCTCTGTTGGATGCAGTACGCAGGCCTGCGGAGACCCCAAGATGAAAGGAGCTGCAAGAGCACAAGGTGCCATTAAGCCATTGTAACAAAGAGGTTTCTGAACTGGCAAAGCTGAACAACAGTGCTGCCAGGTTTGTGTTGTGGAGTGGCTTCTTGAAATGGTCCAGGGAAAGCCGTAGGCTTTGAAAGCAGTGCACTGAAGGTGCTTAAAAGAGGACTCTGCATGTGCAACCAGCATTTACCTTTGAAGTCAGGAAATCTCAAGTGTAAATGCCCATTTGTTCATGGCTGTTCCACGTGCACCGATGCCAGCTTTTGTACATGCAGCAGGCATGGATGTTTAACGAGTCTTAGGATGCCATCTGCCAGAATCTCCTTCTCTGTCAGTTGCCTTATTACTGACTCTTCTGTGTTGTTCCTCAAGGCCCCTCTTCGTGTACAGCTGTGGACGGCCATCAACCATCTGGGAGCGTCCCCCAGTAGAGAATTTTGGCTTCCCTTCTGATCGGCTGCTGAAGTTGTCTGAACCTAAAAGACACCTGTCTGCTTACCTGCAGCAAAGGTGAGAAGCCAGGAGCCCTGTGGGGTGCTATAGGTGGGTCCTTGGGTCTTGTAGCATCAGTGCAGCTTCAAAGTAATAGATAGAGGAACAGGGGATGGGTATAACAGAGGGCAAAGTGCAGAGCAGGGACTCTGTGGGGATTGGGACCTCTGGAATCTCATGGGATGAGCGTGTTCTACGCTAGAAATGGCCACAAGACAAAGCTGCCTTCTACTGCAGCAAACATGAGGTTTAAACATCCCAGCTGCAGCCTGGTTCTCTGCTTCCAGACTTCGCCAGTCCCCTGAATGGCCCGTGTCGCCAGCTGCACTGAGGTATAAGGCCTCCCTGCGGATCTTGGAGCTTGCACGGCCAAAGGTGTTGCACCCAGAGTTCCTGCCGGCCAGAGAGGTGAGAAGGTGGTTGAGTGAAATTGGGAGGGGACAGCGATGCAGCACACTGTCCTGAGCTTTTTACACCCTGTGTCCTGCCCCTGGGTGTGCTCTGGAGGTGAGAAGCTGTCTGGTTCTGCTGGGGTTTGAGATACAGAGAGGAACTGCCTGTTTGGAGTGAGATGCCATCTTTGAAAAGCTCCATGATGAGAGACAGCAAACAGCCAGGCTGGAGCAGCCGAGAATAGCAGGAGAGCCAAGGGAGGAATCTGCTCTGCATCCCCTGATAAAGCAGCCTGGGAAAGCAGAGAATCTTGGTGGGAATGGCCTGTTTAGCTCCCAGGGAGTACAGTCGTGTTTGTAGCTGGGCAGCTGTGCTCCTATCTGTGTATAGAGGGGGGATGAGCCTGCAAACACTATGTATATTTTGTCAGTGTTTTACCAGAGGCCTAATTTAGAGATGTATTTCTGAACTTGCTCCTTGTAGGCGCGTCATTGCTTTGGCAGGGGTGAAGGGCCTCGGGGCAATCTCAGATTACACTCATTTCCATGGAAAAGGCTCAGTTTTCTGGCTGCGGTCTCTGGGCTGGGAGGAGGCTGTGCTGGCGGGGTCCTTGGCATCGGTAACCCTGTGCAAAATAAGGGAAGAAGTCCCACGCTGGAGCAGTAATGACTTTTGTTGTAGGAACGCAGCTAACTGCACCAGCACTTTTACCCTGAAATCTGAGCATCTCTGCTTGGCCAGGAAATTATTTGGTTCAGCCAGGAAGATGAATATGAAAAACATCTCTCTGCTCTGGAAGAAATTTCTCTGCACTTTTACCTGGCTACACAGGCTCTCATTACAGACAATCCTCTCCTGGCTGTGAGTGGGTGACACCTGGGGAAAAAACAGTAGTATTGGCCAAGACATACAAATCCCAACAGTATCAAAATTACCCTGTAGTTAGGGTGAAAGAAAAATAGCGAGTGTCAGGAAGGTAAGAGTGCTCCTTCTCGTGACCATATCTGCAGAGTAAGGGTGCTGAGTGCTCACCCCTTTGGAGAGGGAGTGTGTCCCTGGGGGCTGCTGTGGACGAGCTCTGTGTTTGCACATCCTTCCCCCTTTCTGAACCTATGCAGGTGCCAACACAGGTTACAGCTGTCGTGGCCAGAGCATCCTCACGGTTACAGCGTCTCGCAGAGCCCCGGGTCAGGGAGGTGACCTGCTGCTATGAGTATGGTTTTCCTGAATCTGTCATCCGTCCGGTAAGGCAGCGTCACCCAGGACCATGCATGGCAGGGACACGGGGCAGAAGGGAGGGCACTGGGTGCCCAGTTGCTGGTGCCTCTCTTCATGGCAGCCCTGAATGCGCTGCTATCTGTGAGGCTGATGTAGCTGCTTCCACAGGTTTCCGAGTTCACTCAGAAGGCAATTGCAAGCCCTCGGACTCTGGAGCTGGCCATGGCAAAAAGATTGCATCCTGATTATGTGCCTCTGCGGGACGCTGAGTGGCCAGTGACAACGGCTGCAAAGCGTGCAGTGGCCACACCAAGGCTCGTGGAACTGGCCCAGCCTTGCAAAAGGTAAGTGCAACTTCCCAGCCATGGGGAAATTATCAGCTGTCAACCCATTTTGTGCAAGCCACGGCACCTTGTTGATTTGGGTTTGGCCAGTGTGATTAAGCCACTGCTCTTCCACTTCCAAAATGCATGGATGGGCTTATGCTACATGGATTGTGGTTTAAAAAAGCACAAAGAGAAGAAATAGGAACTTTCTAATTCCAGTAGGAATTAGTAGTTAGAGCTTCTTAGTTATTAATTGCAATTATAAAAAGCAACCAGCTGACGCATGGCACAGTGTAGCTCATTCATGTGGCCCAGCAGGATGCAGCTGGCCTCAGCCTGGGCTGCAGGAAGCGGTGGGTAGGATGTGTCACAGATGGTGAGAGAATGCCTGTGGCTGTGACAGCTTCAGTGAGAGATGGGGCACCTCGTCTCACTAGTGTCCTGGTGACAGCAGTGGAGGCGTGACTGCTTTGTCCTCCCTGGCAGGTAAGGGCAGGGCTTGGGTGGAGGTGTGGCGCTGGCAGGCAGCTGGGAGAGCTGGCCCTGCTCCTGTGGAATTGACTGGCTCTGTCCTCGCTCCCCCAGGCCTCCGACGGTCGCTGCTCAGTTCAACCCAGATGCGTTCACTGTGAAGGAGGCTGCTAAGAAGGCAACATGTTCTGCTCGGATCCTAGAGCTGGCTCGTCCGATTCAGCGCTGAGCTCCCTCAGAAACACAGCCCACTGCTCGTGCTGGGTGCCCCCATCACCCCTTGGAACATCAGCCTCTTCAGGCTGTGCTGTGACTGGAAAACCTACTGGAATACGGCGGAGAGGCAACACTCACTTTCTTAAGAGCAGCCAGCTTTACTGGGCTTATCTCGGGAGCTAAATAAAATGGTCTTTCATTAAGAACAAAATAGTCACCAGGAGAAGTGAGCAGAATTTGATCTAATGCAGGAAGACTCTCTCCCTGGGATGGGTTATGTCTGGAGCTTATAATTTTTTTTTTTTTTTTACTGTAATAGTTAAAGAAGTAATGAAACAACTGCTAGGGGAAACCAGCACAGGAACTGTTCTTTCTCATAAAAAAGTGTGGCAAACCAAATCCAACGGCACACAGTAGGTTGATGCAACACAACTCCTGACCTTAGGTTTCAAAATTTTTGCAAAAGTGTAGAGATCTTGTTAGTGACACTCAAAGTTTTGTGCTTCTGACAGAAGTAGAAACACAAGAGGCTGCAAAATTCCAGATCCAGGGCTGGATTTGATAAGGTGCAAAGCTTTAGTAGAGACTGGAAATGCTGGGGTGGCATGTGCATTGAGTTGGCTTGGATTTGGGGCCCATTTTCTCAAAGGCCTGGAGAATGGGCAGATCCAGCCTTTTGCTTTACATACATCTTTGATACAAGTTACACAGGCGGGTTAAATCTGTGCGGTTCAAATACTCAGTTGTGTGATCCTGGGCAAAATAATGGAGCTCTGCATTGGGATTTTTGGAGCCTACCTCAAAAATGTGGAGTTCCCCTCAGTGTAAGGGAGAAGGCACATTGCAAAGACTAAGAAGAAAACAGGTATTGCTGCCAGACTCTGCAGAACAAACTCTGAGCTCCAGTCGGGTCTGAGGGTGAGTCAGTTTGGCAGCTGGATTGTAGGGGAACAACTCAGCCTGTGTCGGACATGGCACAGGGACGTTGCTTTTATCTGTTTCCTGTGAGTTAGGTGTGCTTTGCACTGGCAGCCTGACCACTGGCGATGGGCTGGAGATATTGAGGCAAGAGAGATGCTCTCCAGCAAGGGACAAAAGCCACAAATGGAAGCATGTGGCAGTTTCAGTGCCAGTGTATCTTAATCCTCCCTGTGTTAAGCTGATTCTCTTTCCAAAGGAGTAGAGGCAGGTGACCACAAACCAGAAGAGGATTAATCAGAGGATCCACTAATTGGTTCAGTCATCCACTAAGCAGAGGATTTTTGAACCCTTTTGAACAAGGTAAGGTCACTGGGCAATGGTGCTGGTTATTTTTTTAGCCCATGTGTTCTCCTGTACCAGGATGGATGAGACTTTGGGCTTTGTGCAAGAGCCCCAGTGCAACTGCATCCCTCGGGCTTGAGAATGGCTAGAAGGAGGCAGGGATCTGTCCCCCCCACCCTGCAGGGGAACCCCAGCACCACCAGCTTCTCCCACCTCGGGGCTTGGGTTGTGCGTGGGGCTGTGTGGACTGCCAGGGATGGACCCATGGGTGCCCTAGAAAAGGAGGTTGCCTATGCCTGCAGGCTGTCCCTGCAGCAAGAGGGATAATCCACGGTCCCCCCTGAGGCTGCCTTGCAGAAGTGTTGCCCTCCCAGAGAAGTTTGCCTCCTGCCACTGGGGCAGGGAGCACAAGCAGGGACATAACACAGCTCCTCTCATCATAAAACTTAGTTTTTTATTAATGCATTGAAAAAAAAAAAAAGACCAGTTCTTTCCCTTTGGTGCCCTTTAACAGAAAGGTGAGTAATGCATTCGAGGGGAGCTTGGCTTGGTCTGATGATGGTGTAGGTGCTCGGTTTGCCAATATCCAGAGCTGACTCGGGCATCTTGAGCGAAACTAGGTCCCCTGAACAACACATCTGGTTTTCCAGGTGCCCCCCTCTCTGCATGATCTGTATATTGGAGCTAGCACACATAGATTACCTCTGGGGATCATAAGGAAAATAAATCTTTTTCCCCCCTTCTCTGCCTGAACCTTTCATGGCAGCTTTTCTGTAAGGCTGGGGCAAGGGCCTGAGATTTCTTGCCCTGTGCAGCAGCTGTTAATGGATGGGAATCACTAGTCAGGTTATGCAGCCATCAGAATGTATACACACATATATATATAATATTTTTTCCTGGTTATGTACACTTTAAATAAAACATGTTAAATAGCAGGGTAATACTTTGTATCTCAAAACCTATTGCAACAGAAAAACCCCAGGGAAACCATTCTGAAGAGCTTCACCATCATTTACAGCAGGCGTGGGGATGGGAGCAGCCTCCACTAGTCCCTGACAGACCCACTCTCCGAGGGCAGCCCTTCAGACTTCCTCCACTCTGCCAGGCGCTGCTTGAACCATTTCTGGAGAAAAAAAAAAAAAAAAAAAAAAAAGAGAGAGAGATCGAGTGCACTGGCTGAGTGAACCCCGTGAATAACCTTGCTAAAGGTGCAAATATGGTCAGCACATGGGACCGGGCGAGGGAAATTCAGGGCACTGGTATCTTGTAGCGAGGTGCCGCACTGTTCTTGGGTGGTACAGGCAGCAGGACAGCTGCTCCTGACCAGTCTTGTTACCTATGTGCACATCCCTTTCAAACTCATTTGTCTCACTTGCATCAGACCTGGTGAGCATGGGTGAGCCCTCATTTTATTGCTGTGAGTCCAGGTTTTTCTTGCAAATAGAGGAAGACATTGGGTGAGGAGCTGCTGGATGGTGTGTGTCTAATAGCTGGAGGAGTGAAACAATCACTGCCCGTCCAAAATGCCAGGAACCAAAAGCTGACCTGCTTCAGAAAGGATGAGAGGGACAGCACAGTGGTTCTCAGCAGATTCAAGGACAAATAGATTTAAAAAATGGGTTAAAAATGATCTTAGTCTTCAAGCAATATACATGGCTATGTTATTCTGTAGTAAATTAGCATATCTGAGCCAGCTCCCAGAGCTGCTGATACCACTTCAACACAGCTGCAATTTGAAATTTAGATAAAATGCAGTCGGATAGAGCCATGCTAGCTCTAAGAAGAGAGATATAATTCCTGTGTGCCGGAAGCACAGCTCAGCCTTTTGTTTGGGAACGTGCCTGTGATTTTCTTTGTTGCTGCTCTTTGTGTTGCTATATTTGTTCTTGGCTATTTTTGAAGCTATTGTGGTCCGTAATGATACAACCACGGTGCTCTCTACAAGTCGCTCTCGCACTAGTGCTGCCTTGGACCACATCCAGTCAGATGATTGCCTGCCTAGCCTGCTCCCCAAATTTTCACTTCCTGTCCTAAACCATCGTCTCCTCTTGACTATACCTTTTTGCATCTCGTTTTCACTAAATTTTTTATGAAAATGGCTGCTCTATCTAGCTGATAACGCACTCCAGATGTCAGGAGCAAGGACTCTCTCTCTCATACGCAATGCGGGCACTTTGCAGCTCAGCATCCCAGTCTTCATCCTGTCCCTAACGTGACCTTCATCTCCAGATCTCTAGGAGCACCCTGGATTTGTGGAATTAGATGGCTATCAGGGAAGATTTTAAGACATCTCCCAAAGTGTCCTGGGCACGTATATCCTGTGTTTACAAATTGCTTTAGGCAAAAGTGCTGTTTCTAAGGAGGAAGAGGTATTTTAGGGGTACTGCCTCCTTGCTGCCTCAAACAAGCAGGGGTACCTGCCTGTCACCGCACTAGGGGAGGGGTCTCCTTCTCCCCTCTGTCCAAGGACTGTCAGTGCAATGGATGCTATACCAGCATCCTTCCCTGGGAAGCTAGATGCTGGCCATGCCTGCTAGGCTCTCGTATCCCTTTGCCCAGGGAGATGCAGGCTTAGCAGCTCTCTGCAAAATGCTGCAGACTTTTCAGTGCGTTGTATTTTGTTTCTATACCCATCCATGCTGCTCTGGGTCTAGTAGCTTATAAAACACCTGCATCAAAACCAGGGCTGCACCGCAACCTGAAGGATGAAGGATCCTTACCCATGTAAGGAGCCGTTTGCTTTTGAAGCCTGGGGTAGCCTGCAGGTAACCAAATGGAGCACAGGACTCGGTGGAAGTCCCAGACAGTGGCAGCCTGTCCCTGGGGAGGGACATTAGGAGGCCTCTGTGTCTCCTGGAGAGGCTGACAGACTTTCCCGGCGTCCGCGCTGGGGGACACTGAGCTAGCTAATTGCAGTGAGGGAGCTGTGCGCAGCCTGAGCGTGTCCCGCAGCACAACTGCAGGAGTGGCATCTGTCCTGTATCTGCTTTAAAATGATTGTGGGTTCTTCAGATTATAAAGCCAGCAGTGGTTTTGGCACCCGAGACTATCAGCAATGCGTTGGAAGGCAAGGACAGTGTGCGCAGGTGTTTATCCAGCACTCCACAGCCAGCCAGCGACCCTCGGCATGTGCCCTTGTGCTGGCTGCGGGAAGCACCAGCCTGGTTCTCCAAACCCAGGCTGGGGATGGGGGTCCTGGGCAGGGGGGGCCCAAGGATCCCAGTGGGGCACAGGGCTGCTGTGCAGGAGACCACGGCCGTGGGATGAGAGGGCTGTGATTTGAGGGGAAGGGGCTTTGGGGATGCAGGGGCAGGAACATGGGGTGCAGGGAGGACATGGGGTGCAGGGAGGTGCTGTGTTGCAGTAGAGCTCTGTGGGTGGAGCATGGTTTTGGGGGTGCACTGGCGGTTGCAGAGGAGACTTGTGGGTGCAGTGTGGGGTGCAGTAAGGAGTATGTGGGGTGCAGACAGTGCAAGCAGGAACACAGGTGGGTGCAGGGGGTGCAGCAGG